AATAAAATCCGTCAAATTCGTAACAAAAAATACCGCTCCCAAGTCAGCCACCAATTAAGAAAAATCACTAGTTATCTCAATGGAGGTCAGGTTGAGGAGGAAAAGGTAAAAAAAATGGTTGCTGAGGCTCAAAAAGCCTTGGATAAAGCCGGTAACAAAAAAATAATTGCGAAAAAGAAAGTCAACCGACAAAAGGGTAAATTACATAAATTAGTGCAACGGGAGAAAATGGCTTGCCGTCGAAAAAATATTTAAGAATAAGTGTTTGTTCTTGGTGATTTTTCGGTTAAACTTAACCGCCGAAAGCAATTGTGAGATTTGAGAAACCAGAAAAGCATGAACAAAAAAAGGGCTTAAAAAGTTTTTTTTTGCCTTGTTAGCTCAATGGTAGAGCAATTGACTCTTAATCAAGAGGTTGGAGGTTCGAATCCTCTACAAGGCACCAAAATATTAGTTATGGGAAAGGCTTAAAGGTTTTGTGTCTCTCCCCCAAATTAGTAGTTAAAGCAAAGATTTTTTGGGTGGTAAATAATTTGTAGCAAAAGTAGCCAAAATTTTTCTTTTTCTTCTCATCTCTGCTCCCATTTTTGTTTAAGTGAATTGTATACTTCTTGTTCTTTCTCGCTACGAAAAAGCCTTTCTTCATAGGCAAAATAATCTCGGTAACATAATTCGCCATGACCAGACTGAACAATATTTCTAATTTCAGTATAACCTATAAATTTGTCGATAGTCTCAGCTAAACTTTCACACTTTTGTCTTTGTTTCGAATAACTGCGATAATCACTCTCACTTTTGTCTCGATATTTAAAATTGGGCGGAAAACAATTTTTGATTTCACTTTTTTTTTTTGTTAAAAAATTCCTTCAATTGTTTCTTTTCACTCTCTCTCTCTCTCTCTCTCTCTATCGGCTTTTAATTCTTCGATTTCTGTTTCGAGTTTTTTTATTGCTCCTTCTAGATTTTGATTGTCTCTATATATTACAGTCATAAATTTTTTGTTTTCAGCCGATTCGTAGTAAGTTTTCACGAATAATGAAAACAATCATTCCACTATCTTTTTTTCGGTATTTTCTTCTTGGAAAATTTTATCTAATCAACTTTTTACTTCTTCTTGGGTTTTTTTTCTGCTTTTTTCATCGCCCTCAAAATAGGATTTTGATATTGTTCCTGCTCGCTCTTCAGCTTTTCAAAATCTATTTATAATTTCTCGCACATCTAGGCTAGGTTTTTGTTCTAATTCCTTGATTTTGTTGCTCTTTTCATCTAATAATTTCGTGTGAGTTTCTAAAATACTTTCTAAATCTTGGTTTCTTTTTTCCAGTTTCTTAATTACTTCGTCTTTTTCCAGTATTTTTTTTACTTCTTCAGAAAGATTAATAATTTGTTGTTCTTGTTTTTTTTGGGTCTCTGCGGCTTGATTTTTAACGGTGTGAAATTTATCGAGTAATATTTTTTGTAAAGTTTTTATGTTTCATTTTTGATTAACATCAATTCCTTCCTCTTTGGCTCATTTGGCAACTTCTTCTCATTGCTCTATTAATAGGTTAATATTTTTATTAGATAAGTTGGTGGAAGTTCCCTGGTCTTGGGTTGTTGGTTTTTTTT